AAAGGAGGAATTTTACGATTAGAATGAAGGTCGAAGAAGAAGTAATTGACCTAGTTGAGGGACCCACGGACCTCCTGAGGGTGCGAACTGACGCGCAATTCGCATCGAAAAATTTGACCTCGGCGACCTATTATGCCTCAAAGTTGGCGGGTCTGGCGAGTGATTAGATAGCAGAGAGAGCGTAGTGTTGAAGAGGGCACAGCGATGAGAGTCGCATCAATGGCAAGGAAGGGGTCCCATTTCTCGGGTTCTGGGCCGTTTCTCATGGTTCTTCCTTCTTTCGTGTACCACTCACCATCCCTAGGTTAATTTGAAATGGGTTGCTTTTTCATCGTGAATTCGTCCTTTAAGCGGATAGCCAGAGTAATGAATTAACGCAAGGGAAACGATAGGAGAAGAACAGAAACATGATCTGCTAGCCCAATAACTACATTAGCGCGCAACCTTCAGTTAGTATAAGAATAAACAAGAATACAAAAGTTTTCATTAGTTGAACGGAAGTCTTATGCCGCATTTTGAAATATATGCATGATCATTGCATGGAGTACAGGGCACGTTTCCTCAAATTTAGGTCATTTCGCAAGGCCTCTAAGCTGTGGGCAGCCAAGGTGAACTCACACAAGACCCATTCCGAGAGAATCACCATTCGAAGAGAGCCAATTACGCCGCCTGAATTAGAACTCAATTTGTGGATTGCAGAGGTGGAATTGCGAACTCGAAGAAAAGGCACTGGAAATGACCAAAGAATTGTTCACATTCGATAAGCGAGAAGCTGGACCTTGGTCAGAATGTATACTAGTGAGTGAGATAGCATTATTCCCTCCCGTCCTCATTTTTCTCCATTCTCGCTCGTCTTCAAAACAGCACATATTTCTACCGATATACTGACTGATTCTAGCGCCTATGACGGAGACTACGTTTACGATGCTGGAAAACATAAAGTTATCAATGATGCAATGTACCAATGGACAATGCCTGGAGAGTACTATGCCATGAACCAACAAGTGTTCGACGACAATCGTTTGTACACTTTTGCAAATGTTAGATACCCACCTGCATTCTCCATTCTGAATAATATAAAACTGGTTTTTCAGATGGCTTATCAGGATATCTACGAGGTCGGTTGCAATTATGAACAGTGCGTTGACGAGAACAACTTTGTAATTGAAGCATCGGTTATGTGTATTTACAACAAAAAGTAAGGAATAGCTGCACAGTTTTCAAGTATGCCGTTGTCAGCCATTCAAGCCCCTGTTACAGAGTTCCCGTAGGCACCACACTGTATGAGTTAGGAGACACAAATGGATGTGAAAATACTCCTAATGTGTGCACTATGCCGGATGCCAAATGTGTAGGTCTTCTTTGCGAAGTGCCGCGCAATCCCCCTTCATTCCTTTGATTGTCTGATTTTTTTTGTGAAACTTCGAAATAAAGTTTAGCAATCGCCTTTTTTGATGATCGCAAAAGATTGAAACAGGGACGTTCCACGAACAAGAGTCAGTTCCATTGGATTATGCCACGCATTCGAAACCCGTCCGCTCAGAAAATCAAACGCTGCTGCGTGTTCCCGAAAAGAATTTCACCACTGTGATGAAACATTGCAACATACAGTAGCGGTCAAAAGTTTGGAAACTTTTTTATTTTTGATCTAGCGCGGCCGACACAACGAAATTGCCTCAAATTTAGATATTACATACAAAATCAAGTCAGAATACGATGGGAAGAATAATTTCCAAAAATCTATAATCATGTTTGAGAAATAAGATTTTTTCAAGTGGCGCGTCAAAAGTTTGGAAACTTTTTGTTTCCCTATCATTATGATTCCTACTCTTCAATGTTTACTTGTTTCTGTTAATTTTAGTTCAACCATTGAGTAATGTGTAATTTCAAAATGAATTCATATGCAAAGGAAGCAGTTTTTCCATGGGGTCCTTTTTTAAACCCTACAATCCGGAATACGAAATTGAAATTGTTTCTTAGTAGTTCAGTCTCTACGGAAGCAATATTATCGAATGTTTTAGTTTTTGGAGTCGAGTAAGCATAAGAAGAATGATCATTCACAAAAAAGTATTCTCACAAGAAAATTGGCCCTCCTCAAATACTTCGAAGGGTGGTTGGCACGCCCCGTACCCCGATATGCCCAACTAAGAGACGATTTTTTCTGGTTTGAACCTAATCGTATGAAAGTCCAAGCACAGCCCAACATCGGCCGCGACCTGGTGAATATTACGGATGATATGTCCCAACAAGAAGCCATTGTTGGGCTTCAAGAGCAGGATGGCCCAACTGGCTTCCGCACACTAACGGCTAACATGGACCGAAGGCGAGAGGTAAAACTTTGTCCTCAGCGACGAATGGGATTTCTATCTTCCTAGAAATGATGTTGTGGACCCTGTGAAGTGTTTGTCAAATGGAAACCTCATTTGAGTATAAGATTCCAACATTCAGAAATAGTGGAAGTATTGTCATGGATGGAAATGGTAAAGGTGTGTTTCGGTAGGCCAGATCGAACCAAGGAGTACCACCCCCCGTGGGCGGGGCACTCAAATTAAGCAGTTTCATACAAAAAATTTCTCACCATTGTGCTGTCCCGGA